CAGCATTGTTCACAATAGCAAGAATGTGGAACCAACCATGCTGTCCATCAAAAGAGGACTGGATTAAAAAAATGTGGTACATATACACAATGGAATACTACACAGCCATAAAAAAAAAAATAAAATCATGAATTTTGCAGCAAACTGGATGGAACTAGAGTCTATAATACTGAGTGATCTCTCACAGAAACAAAGATCTGAGTATCACATGTTCTCACTCATATAGTGGACCTTGATAATCTACCATAGTACTTTAAAAAAAAATAAAAAAGGACTGACAGTGGTGGGAAACTATGGGGGGGGTAGGGAGGGGAAGGGAGGTGGGACTAATGGTAGTCAATATCTGTCTGGGGATGGGGAGACACCCCTTATTAACAAGGGTGCCTGAATGATGCACATTTGTATATCTAACCCTTAACTGTACCCCACAATTTGATGATAAAAAATGTTTACAAAAAAAAAAAACACATTAACTATATGATGAAGAAACCTACAATTATTTTCATTGATATTTTCCTTTTCAATTCCCAAGATAACACTGTCCCAAAGCTTGCATCTACATTTTTGATAGGACAAAGTAGGATGTAATATTTTTCTTTTTTTTATTTTTGAGTTGGAGTCTCACTTGGTCGCCCAGACTGGAGTGCAATGGCCGCTCCCGCCCACCGCAGCCTCGCCTGCTGGGCTCCGGTGATTCTTCCACCTCAGCCTTCCAAGTAGCCAGAATTACAGGCATGCGCTACCATGCCCGGCTGATTTTTTGATTTATTGTACAGATGAGGTCTTGCTGCCCAGGCGGGTCTCGAACCCGCGTAATATTTTTCTTTCCCAAATGAAGTACCATATCATCAGCCTTTTATAACTACCTTTGACTTACAATGTGTTCTTTTTATTTTATTTATATTAACAGTACTAAAGTTCTATTTTTATTATTTATTCACTATTATGAAAATTTATAAAACCATTATAATCCTGAAGTATTACAGTATGTACATTAAGTAAAATTGTTGGTCTTTAAACAAAGATACTGGTGAAAACTAGAATTATTTCCTTGGATATAAGGGTGGAGAGAAAAGAAACTTCATTTGTGTAGGAGTAAAATTAAAGGTCTTTTTGCTAACATTAGACAGTGAAAAACACAGTAAAATTATGATTTCTTGCATTTTACTGTGTTCCCTAACAAATAATCTATAAGGATCCTCAATAAAACTAAGAAACTGGGAAACTAAAACCTGAAGATGTCTGGGCTTATGTAGCATAAAATCAACTTAAAATTCACTTTGAAAATAGGTTATTAAGGTAATTATTGCAGCTGGTGTTATTAAAATTGAATAGTTTTACAACTAGTTGTTCTTTCAGTAAATGAACAAAGCTAAATTTAAATAGTTACTCTCTCATGATTTAAGACTAATAACTTTAACGAAGCAGTTTGGCACTTTTACTGAATACTATCCTTCTTGGTAAAGTTCATTTTCCTTACTGGCATGGTAAGGAAAAATCTGTACTTTCTTGTGTGTTATGTTTCTCTGAAATGTTTCATTGTCACAGTTATGGTTACAGAAACTGTAGACTATGATCTGTACTGACCACTAAATATAAACTAAATTACCTGGTTTGTTGTGGAAAGGCAGTTTTCAGCCTGTCTGTAATCTTTTCCCAGCTCTTCATAGAAGGATCACTTCCCAAACCTGCACTGGAAGGCACAGCCTCTCCCACGGGTGTTGGCACAGTCCAGGCTATGCCAGTCGTCTGTAAGGAGTACAGAAGCTTTAATCATTAAGAAGTGATTTTCTGTGTCAACATGACATTTCCAAACCTCAGAAAATGAGTAAAATGGAGATGAGTAATACTAATACACATTCCCTTATTATAGTTTTTTCCTTAATTAATGCAAACAATATTTCTAATTGTTTACAACTATTTTAACTTATTTTAAAAAATAGGATGTGCTTGCCTCAGTGATTACATACTTGTAAAGAAAAATATGATGGCTGTTTATTGCTGTACTTTCTAACAGTGAAAAACTGAAAACAACCTACAGTTTATAAATATGGGGGGGTCCCCAACCTCCTGGCCTGTTAGGAACCAGGCAGTACAGCAGGAGGTGAATGGTGGGCAAGCAAGCAAAGCTTCACTTGTATTTATAGCCTCTCCACATCACTGGCATTACCACCTGAACTCCACTTCCTGTCAAATCAACACTGGAAAGCCTGCTTTCATTTCCAACATCCTCTGTTTGTGAAGCAAGGTTTTCTGCATAATCTTGTTTTATTTCAACCAAAACAAGATTATGGAGCGGACTGGACATAAGCAACACACTTTGTCTCCCATCACCACCAGATGGGACCATCTAGTTGCATGAAAACAAGCTTGGGGCTCCCAGATTCTGTATTACGGTGAGTTGTATAATTATTTCATTATATATTACAATGTAATAAGAGAAATAAAGTTCATTAAATGAATGTAACGTGCTTGAATCATCCTGAAACCATTCGTCCCACCCCCAAGTACGTGGAAAAACTGTCTCCCACGAAACTGGTCCCTGATGCCAAAAAGGTTGATGACCACTGAATAGGGAAATGAGTAAATAAATTATGGCACATCTAATCAAGTTCTTAAAAATAAATCTGTATGTCTGGGCATGAGAGATGTTCATGAAATACATTCAGTTTTTAAAGTCTATGGCTTTGTATTTATGGTATGGTTCATTTTATATTTTTAAAAATGTATATATGTATTATAAGTCTGACACACATATATGTCTGTGAGTTACAAAGCAATTCATAAATAGTAATTTTTTCCTAGGGATTCAACTGCAGGGCAATTTTGCTTTCTAATCTGTATATTTCTATATTATTGGCATTTTTTGTTATTAGCACATATACTTTTATAATTAGAAAATAAAGTTAAAATTTCAAACAATCAAAAATTGAAATACTACTAGAATTGCTATGCCCAGTGTCTCATGAATGTTACAAAGATGATATGGAAGTTGTAGTGACACTTGTGAGTCATGAAACCATCAAAGTTTTCCCCATATTTTACGGAAGTTCCTTCTAAGAACAATTAAGATTTTAATCAATTAATATCAACAAGTGAAGATTCTTGGAGTGCTAATCTGATTACTAGAATAATTACATACACAGCGTCTTTTACTTAAGGCTAGGGGCTATTTTCAAATATTAGGTTATTATTCATGAAAAATTAGCAATTACTAACAATCACTGGAATAACCTGTACAAAGTCAAATAAGTGAGAAGGAGCAAAATACTGCTCAGAAATCTGATTTGCCTCAAATCAAGCTTTTCCTAGAACCAGAAACTACCCTTATTAGGTTAAGGTATTTTAATGTTTTCAATAAAATTTTATTACAGTTCCTTACAGAATGGTGAGCAAACTACATGAGTAACACTGTAATATCATGGTGATAAAAAAAGATGTGGTACTTATTTAACATGTTAAGGCCTCTATGAAGAGTATCTTTGACATCAGTAACTCTAATTTAGAAAAATACACCATTTTATATTTTAAAAGGCCTTATGTCAACAAGGACCAGATGCTGTGCGTCAACATTGAAGACTGCATCCAACCAGATAAGGACATAACTAAGCCTATGCTCTTCCACTATCAGTCTCATCAGAGGACTTTGTGGTGAAGAAAGGACTTCATCTCCATACTGCTGTCTTAACAGACACCATATTGTTGTCACTTGTGACAAATACCTGCCATCTGCCACCAGAGGCTCTGCCCCATCTATCACTAGACTGCCCATTCCAAAAGATTTGCCCCAGCCAAGACTCCTGATATTCTGTAGAGGCAGGCCCAGGAAAATTCATTCTGCTCACCTCCTTCTCCTGGACTGATTCCTTAACGCATTCTCCTATCCCTTTTCTCTTAATGTTAAATGTTTGTTATGGAATGTTTAATGCATAACAATTATTTATTGATGAAGTATACCACTATGCATGGTTTGCAATATTGACTGATTTGTGGAGTGGCTTGAGTCTGTGTGCCTGCGGCTCTGATTACCAAGTGAACGAGTAGTATTAAGGGGAATTGCCTCCTTGGGAACGCTAGGTAGCTCATGGTTTTTGTGATTAAAATAGCATCAATAAAAGCCTGACACTGGAAAAACACAAGCATGTGTGGATCTGGTTATACCTCTAACCTCACACTGCTCACAACAGGCCTCTATATACATCTGTGTGTAGATAGGAATCCTCTACCAAAATAAGCAGCATTCATCAGACTATATATTTTAAAAGGAGCTGTTAGCAATACATAGGGACAAAAAAGAAAGAAAGAAAGAACGGAAGAAACAACTGTGCCTAGAATGTACTTACAGGAAAGTCAAGATTAGACAATTTTTCATTAATGACATCTAACATCATTCTGTAGGAAGATTTTTCTTTTATTAATAATCAAAAAGTTTACATTAGCCAAGATTATAACTAATAAGTCTAGTAATTTTAAGTTTCTTTATTCTTCCTTGGATAAACCTTATCTGGTTATTTCTAGCTGGGAAAACTTATAACTTTATGGTATATGTTCTAAGATGATGCTATTTATATTATTTAATTGTCTGTTTATGGATAGAGTTGAACACTGTCCTACTCTGTGTGTGTGTGTGTGTGTGTGTGTGTGTGTGTGTGTATGTGTGTGTATGGGTGTGTGTATGTATGTATGTATAAATAAAACTTTTCTTTAGCATTGTGGTATAATTTAGTTTGCTGTGACCCACTTTTTTTGCTTCTCAATCTATAGTGACTATGCTAAAAATAATAATCTATTAAAAATATCAGTTTATCCTGCATTGTTACCTGTTACAGAAGCAAAACTATAATTTTAAGTACTTTCTAGTGTAAAAATATACATTTGTATCCAAACACTAGCTCAAGAGAAGCTCTTACAAGGGGGGCTCTAGGTTGGCCAGGTGCAGAGATGACTCCAGGGCAAACTGCAGGCATTTGAGGAACAGTAAGTATGGGCCTAAACAAAGCTTCTTTCACAATGGGTCTTCCCAAAAACTGCTGCATCTAAAACAGAAAAGATACAAAATAAAAACAAACAAAAGAACCCACACACATTTATGTATTTATATAAGCAATGATCTAAATTAATACAGCAATATATAGGGGAAAACAGTGATTTGAAATTCAGATACAAGGCACATTAGAAACAATGTATGTCAGAGCACTAGTTAAACACATGACTATCTGAAAAAGCAAAGAACAATGAGACACCAGAAAGAACATAAGAAAGAAAAGAACTAGAACTCAGTTTAAGTCCCACTTTTCTCTACCTAGCTGGGTAATCTTGAGAGGGTTGGGTGAAATAATCTTTAAGATTTCCTCTCAACTGTAATAATATAGGAGTATGCAGAGAAGAGTCTCAAAGGGTGCCTCCATGTTGGTGGACAATACTGACACTCAGAAATGTCACAAAAGAACTCAAAGTTATCCATAAAAAATATTTCTCTATTAGGTATTGGAGGTACCAGTTGATGAAATCCCAACTTTATGTTGAGTTCCAAGGAGAGAAGGAGGAAGCAGGGTAGGCATGGGGAATAAACTCTCCTACAGTGACTTGTAGATAGGTTTGAGAGTATTATTGTACTTTCCAGAGAGTTGTGGAAAACTAGACCTTCTTAGCAGCTACTGATGGCAAAGATACTTTGTTGACTGGAGCACAAAAGGGAACAGATTTATTAAACATGTACCATGTGCTTTGTTGAAGTAAAACAATGAACAACATCAACGTAGCTCTAAATAATGATTCTAAAACTAGCATGTAAAAATGGGGAACTTTACAATGGACAGATAGAGCTGACATTTGATTTTTAATATCACTAAAGAAGAGACATTACATGCCTTTTAAGTAAGAAAAAGACATTTCTGAGACCACTAAAGAAATATAAATTCTAGATATTAGATATTTTAAATTATTTATAATTTTCATTGGTAAGATAATGGTGTTATGATTATATCCAATAAGAGTTCCTCATCTTTTAGAATATATCCTAAAGCATAAATGGATGAAACTATATGATACCTGGGGTTGCTTTAAAATAGTTCAGTGGAGAAGAGGGAGGTGACATAAAACAAGACTGACAAAGTGTTGGTAACATTGAAATTGGCTCTTGGGTTCTCAGAGGGTTATTATACTCTTTTTACACAAGTTTCAAAGCTTTTAAATGTAAGCATTTTACATTTACATGTAAGCTTTTTACATTTTACAGAATAAATGAATAGTGGATACTGAGTCAATATTCCTGCTCTCTTTAAGAACCACTATTACCTAACACTGTTTTTTTACTTTTATTTTTATTACATACATAATAATTGTATGTATTTAAGAGATGTAATGTAGCCGGGCTCGATGGCTCAGCCTGTAATCCCGCGCCTTTGGGAGGCTGAGGTGAGTGGATTGCCTGAGCCCGCAGGTTCGAG